TTGTCAATAAAGCGACAATTTACTGTTAAAAGTTGCCAAATGACTTGTGGGTTTGTTAAAAAACAAAAGCACCAAGCAGGTAACTCTGTCACGTAAAGTTGGGTTATCATTTGTGCCTTGTGACACATGCAGGACACGTGGTATAATATAACTGGGATAGTGTTCACAAACACATACACAACATTAAGGTTAGGGCGGAGGAATCAAATTTGTGCTCTGACAATTAATGGAATAATCATACAAATTAAATTGGCTGAAATGGGACTTTCTAGCCTGTGTCTCGATGCCTCTAATCGAACCTGTTTCAAATCACGAGGAAAGGTGACAATATTCCGAGTCATCGGTTTGAATAAAATATCCATGAAATGTAAACCTTTACAGATATTGTGCTTAATGTCAGTAGCAGTGAAGGCAAGTGCATGGCAGAACATTTAAAATAAAACATTGTACAAATTATGTATGTAAACAATTTTATTCAGCGTCTTCAGCTTCAACACTTAGGGAAGCCAGTGCTGACTTTGATGCGAGACAACACTAACTCACCATTAAACAAACATCACTGTCCACGATGGCAGAGGGTGACACCAGCTACTCAACTACAATCCACTGGCTTCGATCAAGATGCTACACAAACAACAGGGAAATCAGTTTAAATGCCGCAAACAACAGTTCAGATCCACATCATCAGCGTCCATTCCACGGGACACAAGTGACAATGACCATCGCATCCAGAACACGTCGCCAGACCAAGTTGAAGAAGATACGGAAGAGGTTCCAGTGGGCTGTCAATCAAGTCCATCTGTTGAATGAGCGTCTGGGGGAGTCGCAGGTCCGGTACGACAGAGCACTGGCAGTGAACCGCCGAAGTTACAGATACCACCTCCGGCTGCGTCTGGCCGTCATCGAGGGTGTCCGGGACATGTATTTCAACTATGCTGAGAAGATAGCCTGGGACATGATGGAGCTGGCCAGCTATACTGGGCGACATACGGACGGCTGATGCCCGACACGTCTACCTGTGCATCAAACGTCACCACAGAACTCTTTAATGAAAGGTGCAAACACACCAGGACGATTAGGACGGCTGAAACTCGCCCCGTTTACCTCTGCTTCAAACGGCCCTTTTCAGGGCCAACCACATTTCCCCAGGGAACATTTTGAAAACGTGCAACAATTTTTAGTCAGACATGCAACCATATTCCATTTGAGAACGCTTGTAAATGAAATTACATTACTTTATCACAGATCAATTGGGCACGTGCATAACTAGGGACAAACGTAGATGAATCCTTCTTAAGAGGTATTTCTGTGACAATAATGTAATCCTAATGTTTTAAGGTATCCACTGATGTTGTAAAATCCACCCAAGCACAATCCATGGCATGGTTTATGTATGTTTTTAGCATTAATGCATAAAACATTTTTCAGGTCAGATATTTTCAGCCATAGTCTTGAAGGACCAGTTTTCTCGGCATCACAATTTCCGACACGTGGTCACTTTTATATGGAACAAGTCCCAGTTGTAGAAAAGGCCACATAACCCGCAGTACAAATGACAATTAAACTTTATGTTACCTGTTTGGTTCTTTTGCTTTTTTAACACAAACCAGTACCGCAAGAAATCTGGCAACATTTACAGTAAATTTTAGTAGCTTGACTGACACTGCTTAAGGCATTATTGATATTATATTTTGGAATAAACATTTGTCTCTCTTTCGCAAAAAGAAGATACTCGTACATTATTTCCTACTCATTTAAAATGGTTTATGGACAAGAAGTCGACCTTTTGAAATTTCGCTATGGACACGAAGTCGACCCCAGGTAAACTTTGATATTAAAGGTGTTGCTGGAGTCACGCTAACCCCATAGTAAGAGTTGTTTTAAGATTTTCGATAACGTGAGCATCGCGTAAAGCGTGAACAAAGTTCACTCACATAGTTTACTCAAATGTCAGCAGTGTCATCATATGAGAGCTTGGTAATGTTCACACACCAAACTTTCATCATTATAATCAAAAACACTTTTGCTGAACTGTCCACTTCTAAACATTTCATGAGCTAATTGTTTAACATATTTCACAGCTAATAATGATTTGTGAGATTTTTAAATGCTAAAGAATTCACTTCAAGTATAGAATAACACTTCTGATATGAACACTTCTTGATTTGTTGACTGGATGTGTATATAATAAATTCTGCGTCTCCATCATGCTGACTTATCCATACCAGTCCAAACTCATATGTTAGTAGTTATTTGCTATATTTAACGTCGCACGCACAACTAAAGGTATTTCGGCGACGGGGTAGTACACTTATTAAGAAATGAGGGGGAACAAAAAAAAAATAAACTCATATGGATAAAGCAAATATTTTATATGTCGTTCAAGTTTGACCGGACCCGTGAAGATCCGGGGTAGAATAGGTCTTCAGCAGGTTTATGCCCGGACTGTCGACAACAAGAAATAATCCGTCCAAATTACTTGTCGACAGTCCGGGAAAAGGGAGGTGATGTTCTACATGAGTGACTTCACTCCCAGTGTCATCGAAATTAACAAACCAATTAAAACAGAGTGTGATATATATAGTAGACAACATAGTTATTCAGTCAATATAACAACATGCATGTATCATATGTCACACAATATAACATATTTGTATATATATTTCATAAAGCTCACACAATATATTTGTGTGCGTGTTTTATATAAACAAGTGATTTCTGCAGGTGTATAAGTAATAAATATATAAAAGATGAGTCCAGTTATTTCTTCTTGCCAAAACTCCTTTATATTGGTTGACACATGTCATCGTTTCCCAATTGCGTAGATCGATGCTCATGCTGATGATCACTGGATTGCGTGGTCCAGACTCGATTATTTACAGACCGCCGCCATTTAGCTGGAATATTGCTGAGTGCGGCGTAAAACTAAACTCACTCACTCACTCAAGTTTTGACTGCCTTCTATTCATAATAAGAATAACATTTGATAACATTGGTAGGTATGTCTGTTCCGGATTCATCATCATCATCATCATTTGAGGTTTACGTCGGCTTCAGGTTGTAGCCTATAGCACCCTCATTCTTGATACCCTTATTCAGATATAACCTACATATCAAGCATGTTCAATCACTACATTAATCAGATAAGATTAACTCCAACATAGAAAGCAGCCAGTGCCCTCATTTACGCGAGACAATACCAACTCACTATCGCCTTTAAACAAACATCACTGTGCACGGTGGCAGAGGGTGACACCAGTCACTCAACTACAATCCACTGGCTTCGATCAAGATGCTACACAAACAACAGGGAAATCAGTTTAAATGCCGCAAACAACAGTTCAGTTCCACATCATCAGCGTCCATTCCACGGAACACAAGTGACAATGACCATCGCATCCAGAACACGTCGCCAGACCAAGTTGAAGAAGATACGGAAGAGGTTCCAGTGGGCTGTCAATCAAGTCCATCTGTTGAATGAGCGTCTGGGGGAGTCGCAGGTCCGGTACGACAGAGCACTGGCAGTGAACCGCCGAAGTTACAGATACCACCTCCGGCTGCGTCTGGCCGTCATCGAGGGTGTCCGGGACATGTATTTCAACTATGCTGAGAAGATAGCCTGGGACATGATGGAGCTGGCCAGCTATACTGGGCGACATACGGACGGCTGATGCCCGACACGTCTACCTGTGCATCAAACGTCACCACAGAACTCTTTAATGAAAGGTGCAACCCCATCACACCAGGCGACATTAGGACGGCTGAAACTCGCCCCGTTTACCTGTGCTTCATACGGCCCTTTTCAGGGCCAACCACATTTCCCCAGAGAACATTTTGAAAACGTGCAACCATTTTTATGTCACAACCAAACCAAGAACACTTTGAAACGCAAAATAGCAATGTTTAAGCCTCACAATGTGAGATCAGCCTCAACATTGTGAGGCTGCTTCTGCCAATGTGCCACTGTTCAGGCAGTTCTATGATAAGCCTATATCTGGCACTGGACAATTCGGAGAGACTTTATTGTTATTGGCTCAGAGTGATGTTGATGTTGGCTCAATGTCATGGTGTATGAAATATGCAAAACATAGTAATAGAGAAATTGCTTCTCAAAAAACATTCAAGAGAAGTCTTGAAAGTCTATGAAGAAAAATTAAGGTTAACATGCTGAAATCTTAACGTGTCGCCGTGACCTTGAAAATTATGGGAAGGTCACCAAAATCGACACTGCGCCTTCCCTATATGAAGCTTGGTGTCAAATATGAAGAAAATTCCGTGAACGCTTCTTGAGATATCTCGCTGACAAGCTTAACATGCAGGCTAACATGCTGAAATCTTCAAAGTGTTGTCGTGACCTTGAAAATTATGGGAAGGTCACCAAAATCGACTGGGTCCTGCGCCTTCCCTATATGAAGCTTGGTGTCAAATTGAAGAAAATTCAGTGACTTCTTCTTGAGATATCTCGCTGACAAGGCTAAAACGTTAAAGTCCGCTTGTGACCTTGAAATAACTGTGACCTTTCTCATACTGTGATGAATCTAGGTACCAAGTATGAAAAGAATCCAGTCAATGGTTCTTAAGATATTCCAATTCATACGTACGGCTGAAATAATTATTTCATGTTGACCTAGCAAATCTTGGATAGCAGCGATCTTGAGTTTTGTTATGTTTTATGTAGAACATATGATTTCCTCTAAACAACTTATGGGATTCTGGAATAGGGAGGTGGAATTATAAAATTAAAGAGACTTACCTGTAAGTTGAAGTTTAATAATAATTGCCCCGACCTATGGAGTACTGCTGGATCACATTCCCACACAGGGAGTCCCGTTTTACCAGAAGCTTTTGTTCTAGATAAAAATTCACTGATGTGCGACAATCCCTCAAACAATATATCCATAATTGTCAGCATTGTCTCAGGAGACACAAAATGTGCCTTAATGTCTTATTAGCGAGGTGGCAACATTTGCTATTCAAAAAGAAATGTAAACAAGAAAATATTTATATTCCGTAACATTTTATTGATAACAAGAACATCAGTACCATGTAGCAAGTACTAGTACATCATAATTACAACAGATGCACCCATTGTGATCAAGTCATTCAGTGATAAAGAAGAGATGATTGATTCACATCTCAAAATAAACTTGCATCCTTGAATAAAACACATTTTCTTGATAAGCTACACATATACTCATTCCAAATCATAGCAAAGGGTATGATGTCAACCTATACATGTGATAGTGGGTAGGTGCCAAGCGTTCTGAGTCACAAGAAATCAATGTGTTTACACACACAATAAATGCATTGTTATACAAACAATCATCAATAGCAATTTTCAGAATATAACATTTTCCTCCGTATTTATCTGTTTATAACGCATATTTTATTCATTTCCAAAATGCAAAACATCTCAGCTGGAAAGGATCCACTAAACTTCGCATTTGACCACACCAGATAACATTATGACACACAACTATACATCAGTTCAACCAGTCTCTTGTTAAAGGCCATCCATCCTTTCCAGTAGAATGCTTGAAACCAGTCAGTCAGAGTTATCTACCCTGACAGTCATTCCCGCCACACTCATTCTCACACAGACATCAGCAGTGACTATCTTGGACTGACTGGCTGACTGAGTTTGGTTTTACGCCGCTTTTAGCAATATTCCAGCAACATCACGACGGGGGACACCAGAAACGGGCTTCACACAATGTACCCATGTGGGGATTCACACCCGGGTCTTCGCCGTGACGAGCCAACGCTTTAACCACTAGGCTACCCCACCACCCCGACAATCTTGGAGACTACAGGGGAACTATATGGCATATAGCTCTCCAGTACAAACGTCTTACAGCAATTACTCCCAATTACTAAATTAATGATGGTAAACATCTGTTAAACAACAATGTTATTTGACAATACAGATCTAGTATGCCTGGTCCACACTTTAATATGATACAGCTAGGTTATAGCGGACTGTGGCTTAAAATAACATTCACTCGCTCCAACATGGCCAACTTGTATCAGAAGCATCAGCTACAAACACTCAACACTCATCAATATTCATTTTAATAATTTTAACTTGGCTACAATTTTCAGAAAATATATTGATGCATCAAGGAGCAAATATATATTCATCTTCATATTCATACATTTTTATATCCTAAAAGTAACCATCCATTTCATAAATTAAAGCATCAATCTAATCTGTGTTGTGAATACCATATGGTAAAGAAAGATCTATGGTTGGCCAAGGCAAGGTCAAGGTGATCCTGGAAGGTCAGGGTTGTTAGAGCTTGCTGACATCCACTGGGGAAGGAGCGAGGGACGGGAACCCTCTGTCAAAGGCCGCATTGAGGACATCTTCTAGTTTACTTGCCAACACAACAGATAGATCCTTCTGGAAAATCAAAACGACACTTGTGTTCAACATGATTTTGTGACAATGTCTATTACTTAAATAAACTGAAGGCCAGTGTTGGCAAATCTACTTCAGTTCTTGGCTGTTTCTATGGTTTTCAGATAAGTCTATGGATCACACGCACTAAACAGCCTTCAAAGCCAAAGCAACATACCAAGTTTATTCAACTAATCAGGTACTTCTCATTCAAATGTCCTGCTGATGAGCCATCTGATTATTTTTGCAGTGAGTCTGAACCTGAAATGTTTGGATATCCATGCAAGTCCAACATATTCCTGTCACTGCTGCATGTCCTCCAACATATTCCTGTCACTGCTGCATGTACCTACTAGTGGTGGTCCGATTAATTGAAATGATCGAAGATTGGTCGCAGTGACTAAACGACTAAGCAGTCGATCATGTTTTCTCATAATCAAACACAAACAGTACTGAAACACTTGTTTTCATTAACAATATTTTTCACGAGGTTGGTTTTGTCTGTTACATTTCATAAGCACTACATGCTCATTTCAACTCATGATTGAATTTATCTTAAAGACTCCGAGAAATTTATGTTCCTAACATACTAGTCATCCTTTAAAGATGTGAAATTTTGCCAAAAAAGCCCAAAAGAACTACATGTTTTTTCCTTATTTTTATGTGCATTAACAAATTTCATTAATGACGCTAACCAATATTTTTGAATGATTGATCGGTTGTAATGAACCAATCATCAATTATAAGATTTTAACCAATTCCCAACACTAGTACCTACCAGAATGTTAGCGGGGATATCCTGCAAGTCCTTCTCATTCCTGCGTGGCAGGATCACACGTCTAATTCCTGCTCTATGTGCTGACAAAACCTTCTCCTTTATACCACCGACCTAGGTAATAAGACAAAAGGCTTTGGTGAACTGACAAACATTATCAACCTTCCTTCATTCTAAGTTCAATATACTATACTCCTATGCCACTGCAAAATCCAAGACATTCATAAATGTTTCTTTTTGGACAATATCTAAGAACCTTTCATTAAGATGAATGGAGAATTAAGGAGAAATTATGCATTTTATTACAGTGAGTTATCACAAACAAGTTCATAACCAGTTCAACATTGTTTAATACCTACAGGCAAAACAAGTCCTCTTAGAGTGATCTCCCCTGTCATGGCTGTGTCTGAGCGAACACATCGCTCACTGAAGAGTGACACCAGGACAGTTGCTATGGTAACACCAGCTGATGGTCCATCTTTGCCAACAGCACCCGCAGGGAAGTGAATGTGAAGGTCAGTGTTGTCCAAAGGTCAGATTTCATGTTCAGCTGGAGAATAGATTTCACCTTGTCACCAAACAAAATTGTCTAAAATATCAAAGGTCATTTCAAAATTGCCTCAAGCCTTAAATAATGTCAGCTAAATAAGGCATGAAAGCAGAGAGTGGTGCCACTTTTACATGATTTCCACTCTGGTATTAAACCCCACATAGTGGGTCATGGTGCTGAGAACCAATAATTGTTCATCAGGGCGGATCTGAGATTCAAATCAGCAGATCCTAGCATGGAAAAGGGAGGTAGCTCCAACTATTTCCTACCTGTGAAGCTCGAGTTAAAATTGGTCTTCAGCAACCCATGCTTGCCGTAAAACAGCGACTAAGGGGATTAGGTGGTCAGGCTCGCTGACTTGGTTGACACATGCTTCAGGAGCTGATGAACTACTACTGTAGCTTCAGAAGATGGACAACTTACTCTAGTTGCATTGGCCCTGACCCAGTTGAGAGCCAGGTTAGCAGACTCCTTCATCACATCCCCCAGTTGTCCCGTCAGAGTTATCTTTCCTTCTCCCTCCATGCGAGTCGCCTCCACAAACATGATCTCGCCCCCCATGGCAGTCCATGCCAACCCGACTGCTACTCCTGGCTGCCCCAGGCGCTCCGACATCTCTCTCTCATACATAGGAGGCTACAACACACAAGGATTCCACAAAATATATTTCCTGGCTACGAAAATCTGAATATTTCACACAATGATTACACAAAACATCTTCCCTGGCTCAGAATATCTGAACATTTCATACAAGGAATCAAACCCTGTTCTACTGTTACTAGTATTAGCATCCAACTGATGTCAATGTAGCCCGCAATCTATCATGTCTTTGCAAACACCTTGGATTCAATACTATACAGAAAGAGCTCATAAACTGATACTGCATGTCTTATGTATACAGGAAATATGCATGCGTTTAAGAATATCTTCATCAAGTTTTGGTCAAGAACGCCAACTCTGTAACTATATGTTCTTACAACATATGAGATATTTCCATAAGATGTGCAATGTGACACGTCTGCTTTCACTTTCTGATGGCTTCATCAAAAGTAGGCCCGAAATGAGGGGGAACAAAAAATAATAGAAACTCATATGGATAAAGCAAATATTTTACATGTCGTTCAAGTTTGACCGGACCCGTGAAGATCCGGGGTAGAATAGGTCTTCAGCAACCCACGCTTGCCACAAAAGGCGCCTATGCTTGTCATAAGAGGCGACTAACGGGATCGGGTGGTCAGGCTCGCTGACTTGGTTGACACATGTCATCCCAATTGCGCAGATCGATGTTCATGCTGTTGATCACTGGATTGTCTGGTCTAGACTCGATTATTTACAGACCGCCGCCATATACTTGGAATATTGCTGAGTGCGGCGTAAAACTAAACTCACTCACTCATCAAAAGTAACATCGTCAAGTTGCATGTGCCAAACATCGGATCAGTCAAACTTCTTTCTCATCAATTGGACAACAGGCTTCAAATCTTCAACTAATGAGCATGTTCAGTGGAAAAGACTTAGTGTTCTTATTAACAATTAATATACACATATTTATGAAAACTATATATTCTTTACCTAATTTTAATATTCTGACTACTGTCTTTGCAAACCTAACAAGCGATGGTAATAATCTGGGTCAAAGATGTACCTACAAGATTTTTCAAAAGATCTGCATTTTTTTCGAACAAGCTCTGCCGAGGGTATTGTGTAAATTACATATATACTACCCATCAAAAGTTTAGACTCGCTTAAATCAATCACTATAAGTTATGTATGTACATATGGTTACAAGATGAATTTCTCCACTAACTTGGGGGAAACATCTGCAAACCTTATGCAGATTAATTGTATCAGGATCATGCATCAAATTGCTGAAGATCATGTGCAAATGAACAGCTGCATTTTCGTGTAAAGTTTTGACAAAAAAAATCGCCATTTTCTCACCAAGTTTCATCATTTATTGAACACATGACAATAAACTTTTCAACATCATGAATTTGTTTTACAATACATCAGCTCATGTATAAACAGTACCTTTAAACTGCATGGATTATTTTACAAAATCTAGTTCAGAACAGTTGACTGAAGTAAGTGGCTACATTTACACTAGTGAGTCTAAACTTTTGATGGGGAGTACATTTTGGTGTGTGAAATTCCCAGTAAGCACACAATGTTAATATTCTAGTTACCTGTGAGGATCCGTGTTAGAATTGGTTTTCAGTAACCCATGCTTGTCGTAAGAGGCGACTATTGGGATCGGGTGGTCAGGCTCGCTGACTTGGTTGACACGTCATCGTATCCCAATTGAGTAGATCGATGCTCATGCTGTTGATCACTGGATTGTCTGGTCCAGACCAGATTATTTACAGACCTGAGCGTTAAACCACAAACAAACAATAATATTCCAGTAGTGGCCACATACCCCTAGGATGTCCTCAATGGCAGCTTCATCGATGACTATCGGCATTTCAGGAGGGTGGGCGAGCGTGGAGGCCTCGTGAGAATCATTCGCCGACAGAATCTCAGAGGGGATATCCTTCTTGTCACCCTGGGTGGCTTCCAGCTTCTCCCGACGAGCTTTGGACACTCCCTCTGCGACCCGCACAGCCACGGCCCGGCAAATGGCTGCAATACGTCGCTCCAACGTACGAACACCTGCCTCACGGGTGTACTTTGCCACTGGAACACAAACATCATCTTACAGCAATACTACCTCCTAAAACCACTGTAGATAGTTCTATTTGATGTTTTGGACATACAGTCAAATCCCAATGAGTTGAATCACTGGGGACCATATAATAAATTCGACTTATCAATGTATTCGAGACATAGGTATGTCTATGAGGGTAGAAAAAAAGATGATCCAGTCCTAATTCCTCCACCTAAGCATTTGTTTATCTAATGATCCATATCACTAATAGGGGCACCTTATCAGTTCCAGTCTGATTAGCTCAGACAGTGATTTCCGCAAAATCACTAATCTGCCTTTTGAACTCACCCGTCAATGGTGGAAAGGTGTCAGCCGCGCTGGTTTGTTAATTGGATCAGTTTGCTACACCAATCAACTTCTCATTGACTGACTTCCGGCTTATGTATACAAGATTGCTGTTGTTTGAATCTCATGAGACCAAATTTCCTTCTCGAGTCATCGTGTGTATTTATGAGACGAATTCGTGTAACCGGTATTCAAATGATGACAACTATAACAGGGAATGGTCGGGACCGACAGGTACTTCGAGTTATGCATAATATTCGAGACACTGGCATTCGATTCATCGGGATTTGACTGTATTTCACAACATTACAGCAGCCCGTAAACAATCACCTCTGACCCAGACAAAACAGTGATTCCATTATGATCAACAACCTGAAATTATTCCTCATTGCACCTGATCATTCATTTTACCTCCCCATTTGAGAAGAAATGGAACATTCAAAGTCTGTCCCCGTTGGGTCATGATTTATTATCACATAAGTTATAGTCCCATTCTCTGTATGTATCAATAATATAAATCAGTTTGCAGTGTAAAATAGCTGGATTTTTCCAGATTTGGTGGAGATTCCAACATAGAACAATTCTCAAACAAAGAATCGTTCTCCAGCATAAAACACTTCCTAACCACAGAATAACTCCCCAACAGGGAATAGTTCCTTCCCCTGGCATAGAACAGATCCCCAGCATGAAATAGTTACCAACCACAGAATACTTCCCTGACTTCCCAAGCTTAGAACAGGTCTCCACTATAGAACACAGAATATTTTCCAGCACAGAACTGTTCTCCAGCAGTAATATCAATCAGATAACCTGTCTTGTCTTGACTTCATTATTTACAGAATATCATCAGAACAGAAACAGTATGTATGCTTACCCAGAACTTTAATGGAATCCTCAGGGATCTGTATCTGTTCCGCAGTCAGTCCATGTTCCTTGAGTTGTTTGGGCATGAGATGGCGGACACCGATGTTGACCTTCTCCTCCTGGGTGTAGCCCGGGATCTGGATCAACTCCATGCGGTCCAGGAGGGCTGGTGGAATGGTGGACATGTTGTTGGCTGTTGCGATGAACAGCACTTGGGACAGGTCAAACGGGACATTGAGGTAGCTGAATTTGTTCAGGAATAATATACATGGCTGGATTCAGAAAGGGATTGTGCAGGTGTGACTCCCATTGTTATTGTCATACACCTTACAAGTTAACTGCACCCTCAGCCATGTACATTTGTGACTTGGGTTATATGCACATTCCCTTTCTTTCAAAATACTGGATCCACCTCTGACATATAGCCATAGTTATGAAACATACATTAACGCTTTTGGGGACGTTACAAGGTTTCATCAAATCGTTTATCTCAAAAACACAACAAGGTCAAAGTTTGTCGATCCAAAAGTAATGTTTGAAATTTTGTGTTTGACAGCACTTAAAACTGACAGAACATGTCAATAAACACATATTTCGGTATCAATAGTATCTGATGCACAGAAATGTTACTATTTGAGGCCTCAGGAAATTCTCACTAACACCTGCACATAATGGTTATCTCCGGACGTTAAACTAGGATACTGATCTACGAAGTTGTTGTTCTGTTCCGGGTCCAGAACTTCCAGCAGAGCAGCAGCAGGGTCGCCATGGAGACTCTTGCTCTGCAACACCAGACATGAGATGATGTCAGTCAGTGAGGGAGTGTTGTTTAAAGTCACCATAAGCCACATTCCAGTTACATTACATGGACCCCATCAGGTTTTTGACACTTTAATCCCAGTTTCCCAGCGGGTATGACCCACATGAGGCTATGAGGCTTATTAGGGCACCCCATCAACATATGTCAACACCCACACCTCATCCTGGTATGACACCCCATCATATGCATGACACCACATGAGGTTATGACACCCCGAGGTTATGACACCCCAACACCACATGAGGTACACCCCATCAACATATGACACCACATGGGGTGACACCACATATGACAATGAAGTTATGACACCCCATCAATGAATGACACCACATGAGGTTATGACACCCCATCAATGTATGACACCACATGAGGTTATGACACCCCATCAATGTATGACACCACATGAGGTTATGACACCCCATCAATGTATGACACCACATGAGGTTATGACACCCCATCAATGTATGACACCACATGAGGTTATGACACCCCATCAATGTATGACACCACATGAGGTTATGACACCCCATCAATGTATGACACCACATGAGGTTATGACACCCCATCAATGTATGACACCAGTCAGTGAGGAAGTGAATGGGGTGTGTTTAAAGCCACAGTAAGCAATATTCCATCTACATCACAGGGAGCTGCCAATTATCATATCTGTACCCCATCAACGAATGACATCCCAACAGGGTATGACACCACATCTTGGTACGACAGCACAGAGCTTGGTTGTATTCAGCTGATCTCCATTAGTTGCCTGTTACCACAAGGTCAAACATTAGTCATTGTCGACTTAGTTACCAACTGAGAAATACATGCATCTGCACATACCAGCTTATCTATCTCGTCCAGCAGGAAGACCGGGTTGTGGGTATTGACGAGTTTCAGCCCCTGTATGATCCGTCCAGGCATGGAGCCAATGTAGGTCCGACGATGACCACGGATGTCAGACTGGTCACAAACTCCCCCCAGTGCTATCCTAGTGGACAAACAGAATTCACAGGACTATCAGAGAAAGTCTGTGTTTTTATGTAATCTAGCCTGCTGTTTACAAAACTTAATTCAATAACTGGAACAAAGAGACAAGACTTTCTTTTAACATAATTCAAACATACATGAAAAAAGTCAATTCCTTTCAACTGGAATAAAGTAAAAAGCACAAACGTATTATCAATACACAACAAAAGTAATTAATGATGACAAGGGCATAAACCTCACTACTTAATACTAACGACACTTAATCTAACTAATCTTAATAAAAATCTATGTACAAATGTACCAAGGTCCAAAACTGCATTACTTTATACTAACTGAACTTAATCTCACTAATCTAAATTAAAAGCTATGTATATATGTACAAATACTTGAATCTACCACAAACATAATTATTAACATGAAATATATCAACAGTTAAAGCTTCCCAACCACCTCACTGTGTTCAATGAAGTACTCATTGTAGATAAAGGCCGAGTTACCTATGGAATTCTCTGCCCAGTGTGCTGGCTATGGACCGTCCCACACTAGTTTTCCCACCCCCTGGGGTCCGACAAAACAAAGGATTGGACCCTTGAGAGAGTTTTTGAGCTGGCGGACTGCCAGGTATTCCAGGACACGTTTCTTCAACTTGTCCAGGCCATAGTGGTCAGCGTCCAGATCCTTCCTGTCAGGACATAGAACTGGGTCATCACATGGATGAAACCATAAACTCAGCATAATTGTTGTTCATCTCAGTCAACAAATGTAACATGTTATATTTGGGGTTTACACTCTTGTGGAATCTCTGGTTGCTGGGATAGATTGCTGACTTTGTGGGCTGGTGATTAGGTGCTACTCTGAGAGTGAGGGTTCGAAACCTGGATGGGACTTAGGCCCCAAAAAGTACTAGAATCTGTACTTCACTGAGAAAGTGTAACATCAAACATAACAAATATTACAGCACATGAATGAGTTTTTATCTCAGTCAATAACAAGTGGTAAAAATAATTTATAAATTGGCCATATAAATAAGTGGCAGATAGCATAAACAACACTCCACATGATCAGGGCACAATCACATACAGTCGTCCTGGCCACACCCATGATGACGCACAATCAGTTCTAATAACAAGCACTGGGTACAGGCAGTGTATGAAATAAGGCCCGTCTGACCGCCCGAGACTGGTTAGATTTCGGACGGACAGTCTAGATTTACCGCTAGCCAGCCTGATGGTCTGGTAAAAAATTTAGATGTTACATACATCTGAGTCATATTTTGGTGTCTGGTCTGGTTAAATCCATTTTGGACTGGTAACATTTTGAAGTTACCAGCCCTGATGTCTGGCTGGGGTTTGGCTTATTTCATACACTGGTACAGGGCACCTGTTTTTCCCCAAATCCCCATGAGGTTCATCAGCTTGCACCAAACATTCCAATGTAGATACAATATAATCTTGTCATACTGTAACTAGTCAGACCCCGGTCCGACAGTTATGTCCCTTTACTCACAAATTGTGGTTCCCAGTCGCCATTATTCCAAAGGGTGGTTTTCCAGACTAACAGGGTAATAACGCCATTGTAACTGTTGTTATAACCTACACAATCTGTAACATGACACACCTGGCCTGCAAGATGTCTAGGGCGTCCTTGCTCTGGCGGGACCACGGTAACTCCACCATGAGCTCCAAGTAGTTCCTGCAACACACAACACTCACAGTCACTCATTCATACGACCCAAACCGCTCACTTGCAACTCGAAGCATTGCTAAGGGGCAAACTGAAATTGAACACAGATCACGAGGAATCGTCTCAACGGCAAAAACTTTTCAAATTTTCTCACTTGTTTAAGCATGTACAGTCAGGCGCGGTAATCTGGTCCTCGTTAATCTGAATCCGCAAAGTGACACATTGTTTGTTTAGCGACTTAGCGACTCATCCCGCTGATCCCTTTATCATAAGTGATAGGGAAATTTCGACGACCACGCTGTTTTGGGAAAGACTTCAATCCGAAATCTATGCTGGGTACTGTTTCAACACGAAGCGTGGATGACCTCTGACATGTTCTGTGATTGGCTGAGAACTTTTGATAGACAGTGTAGGAGTCCGCGTGGCGTTCGCGTCATACTTCTCCGTGACAAATGTCAAAGTTCACTTTCTTCCTCCAACACTACATCGGTAGTTCAGCCACTTGATGCTGGTATTATTCGGACATTCAAAGCTTATTACAAGAGATATAAGTGAGACATTTCATCGCGTGTGCTGAAGGCGACAAACCCCAGTGTATAAACTTAAGAGAGCCTTGCGTTGGTGAAATCTGCATGGGCAGATGTTTCCTGTCAGGCGATCAAGAACTGTTTCAAGCATGTCAAATTCTGCCAAGTCAAGAATCCCAGATTGGTGAAAAAACAACCTTTGCAGCAGCCCACCATTAAAGACTACTTTTGTAAGTAAAATGTGTGAGTGAAACAATGTGTAATAAATCCAGTGATTGTCTTTGATGTTTTATTTTGATTTCTTCACGTATCGATAGTAAGGAAAGATATCAAGGGGAAGTAACTCAGTGCATATACTGTGGTTTCCGCGATGCTGACGTTTCACTATCGAGCGGGTTTTAAAAACCAAAGTGTTAAAGTAGCGAGGTCTGACTGTACACAGTCAAAATCAGCAATACTTTCCTACTTAACAAATAGGCTATATGTTAACACATGCCTACCTTTATTATCTTTATTATGTAATATTCTCACCAACACTTACGCTGTATATCCACTTTCCAAATGGCGTCGTTGTTGATGCAAGCAGTGATCGTTAAAAAGGTAAACAAACACGGTAATCTTTATTATGTAATATTCTGGTAATGGTGTCTGCGTCGTTGATGGAACATACTTCAAGTTTGAGGGGTCAGCTTATCCATGGGAATTATAAACATATACTCGGTGCCAAAAATAACCTTCGCTGACAACCATTTTTATGGTTATGCTTATATTTATGCTTATGTTTAAGATACATGAACCGTTAATAATGGGAATCATCCCTTACCACAGTATTTGATCAGGATCCATTTGCACAAAGCAATCATAGCATTATGACCATCTTTAGCCGATGTTTGTATGGGATCATTGTAGCACTAAGATCGCTTTGTGCAAGTGGGACCAGATCACAACTGCGATCCTGTCAAGTTAAAAACCGATGACTACCTGATCATAGCATGTTCTGGCATGTGCTGTGGCATCTTCTTCAGCCTCTTCAGCTCCTTCATTGATGCCTTGTGCGCCTGCTCTGGCATGTTAGCCGCTCTGTCGTAACAGAAACATGAAGCTGTGATAGTGTCAGTGACGTCAGATAATACTCTAGTTTCAAACTGTCTTCATAAAGCGTGAGTGAGTGAGTGAGTGAGTAAGTGAGGTTTTACGCCGCTTTTAGCAATATTCGAGCAATATCATGGCGGTGACACCAAAAATGGGCTTTACACACTGTACCCATGTGGGGAACTGAACCCGGTTCTTTGGCGTAAAGAGCAAATGCTTAAACCACTAGGCTACCCAACCGCCCCCATATAGAGAATCTGTTACCAGTTTCCTAATCACATGTAATAGCAACAGTTGGTTGTTTAATGTTTCTTACAGCTGTATGACCAAGGTCTTTATAATAAGGACTAAACTAGACAGTCCTGTGATTGACGATGATCTACACAATTGGCATATGAGTGAGTGAGTGAGTTAGTTTTATGCCGCACTCAGCAATAGTCCAGCTATATGGCAGCCATATGGCAGCGGTCTGTAAATAATCTTCCGATAGGCATGGGTTACCGAAGATCAATATTCAACAGCATACTGTTTAAAGCGGTGTTGATACCAACTCTTGCTTGACATTAAAACCTCTACATTCAACTGTTCTAGATGACATTAATTGTATCTTCTGGATCTTGATTACGTTTGCCAAGAACTCATAAAATGTCAATGCCTGACGCTTTGACCAACAATCCTGTTAGTCGCGATGGCTCTTCCAGCTACAAGCATGGGTTACTGAAGATCAATTCTAATCCATATCTTCATGGGTCGTATGTATGTAGGTCTGTAGGTAGTAATTGGGATATGGTGACATGCATCAACCAAGTGAGCTGAGTCTGACCACGAAATGCCTTCAGCTGCCTTTTACAAGAATCTTGAGTTGCTGAAGACCAATTACAACAGGGATCTTGACAGGCGTTATGAATGGCACAAACAATCTAATGACCAAGCATACTTTATCTTCTGCTCCAGGTCAAGGTCATCTGACTCATTGTCTCCATCCTCCTCCTCCAAGTCTGTGCTCAGCTTCCTGAACACACTCCGCATGTTGGTTGGCCTTGACCCTTCCTTCCGGGTCACAATTTCCACCTTGCCATCTTTCCGTGCTCGCTGAAGAAGCTTCAGACCCTAGTTGTAGGAACATAAAAGATCAAGTTCCTAAGACTGGACACCTTTCCAGTTATAATTTGCAGAGTTAACTTATATTTGTTAAGCTTACTAGTAGGACTGACTGACTGACTGAGTTTGGTTTTACGCCGCTTTTAGCAATATTCCAGCAACATCACGGTGGGGGACACCAGAAATGGGCTTCACACATTGTGCCCATGTGGGGATTCGAACCCGGGTCTTCAGCGTGATGAGCCAACGCTTTAACCATTAGGCTACCCCACTGCCCCCTTACTAGTAGGAAAGAGTTTTCGCTGCACACAGGCTTTGCAAAGGTATCACATGTAACAGATTATAGGATTATTTTGGCAACCCAGAGAACTAGTAAACCATATTTCACTCTTCATCAGAGTTTGTATCTATTTCTGTTTGAACAAGACATAAATGTTTACTATGCTTGCATTTCTGTCAGTTTCATTCAGTTTCAATTCATAGCAAAACTGAAGTATGTAGAACTGGTTTGGAATCATAGCCCTAAAAAAGAAGCAGTCTTGACTTGTGGACTACCACAAACCTCAAAGGCTGTATGTCATATGACAAGTTTGGGCTAGTAGACTCAAACCTTGTACAGACTGTTATACACTAGCAACTTTGTATCATTCCTTTAAAGGCAAGTATGGAAGCCTGTACACTGTCTCTATGAGTGAGTGAGTGAGTTGAGTTTTACACCGCACTTAGCAATTTTCCAGCTATATGGTGCCGTTCTGTAAATAATCGAGTCTGGACAAGACAATCCAGTGATCAACAGCATGAGCATCGATCTGCACAATTGGGAACCGATGACGTGTCAACCAAGTCAGCGAACCTGACCACCCGATCCTGTTAGTCGCCTCTTACGACAAGCATGGGTTACTGAAGATCAATTATAATCCGGATCTTCATGGATCCCTCTATAAATACCTCGATCTGCCTCATCAGCAGGGGCAGAGCCTTCTTGAACCTGTCATTCAGATCCACAGCATCCAGCACCTGAATCTTCTCTGTGTAGGAGGCTTTCACAATGGCTGCACACACATCCGGAAGGTGCTGACTTGGCAGATTCTCCAGCATTTTCTGGCAACGATTAAAACAAATTAAAGATTTATAAAGAATTATTAAAATCTAAATATTTTAGATATTTAAATACTTACCTTACCATAGGTCTTATGCATATTACCTCAAGCTCCGCTTAAAGAGATCAGACAGTCGTTGATTCGCCATTCTGTAGAACGGCCACCTCGTGTATCGACGAGTGTACAGGCAACGGAAGTGACGTGATCTCCCCTCCCGCGCAAGCGCGGTCCATCCAAAATCACTTTTACTGACCAGGTCCGAAGAGCCCAGAGAGGGGAGGAGCATCCAGCGTTGGGAGGGAGTTACCGCCCTATGGTAAGGTAAGTATTTAAATATCTAAAATATTTAGATTTTAATAAATTTTTAACTTACCTTACCATAGGTCTTATGCATATGGATTCGACAGTAGGACGGCGGTGTCGGGCTCCAGAGGACCGTCCCACGAAAAACCCACATGCCAAGGGAAAACCAGAAGAAACTACTGAATCGCCAGACTGTCGCAGGAGGCGCCTGGAACAGGAGACAGATAGTGACTAAAGGCAACCCTAAGGAAAACAAATACACCCAGAGTGTAAGTTAACCTGAAGACCAGAAGGTAAGAAGAAGTAGTTACCTAATGGGCGGTAGGATGGGTGAGTTGCTGAGCAACCACCAGTGGACCAAACGATTGAAGACCTTCCACGTCCTCGGCGGCCAAATCCCGCAGGTAATGACTAGCGAAGACAGTAGAGGACTTCCAAAACAACCCTCCATGATGGCTGGAGCGGTGCAGTTTCTGTGGAGAGCCATGGTGGATGCCAGAGCCCTAATCTCATGCGGATTAGTGGCTGTAGGATGAGGCAGATCTTGGCATCGTAGGCGGTCAGGATGGTAGTATGCGGAGCCAGAGCGCAAAGCGTATTCTTATTAACTTCACCTTCGACCACAGAAGACAACGGGATGAACAGTCTCTTACGAGACTGCCTCCTGGAAGATGACTTGGCAATATAAATCTTAAGTGCCCTCACGGGACAAAGCAGCTGTTCCTCAGCGCCGTGAGGTCCTAGAATGGAAGACAAAGGAGGGATGGAGAAGATCCTATCCGGTTGTCCCGGCAGCTGGTTCTTGGCCACGAAGTCCCAAAGCAGTCCGAGATGAACAAGACCATGCCGTGACTGCTCAAAACGCACCCTGGTGACATCCAATGCGTGGATCTCACTAACCCTAGCTGCTGTGGCCAGGGCCAAGAGAAAAGCTGTCTTCCTGGAGAGGTTCTCAAAAGAAGCCGTGTCCAAGGGCTCATAAGGGGGACCTCTCAGATGACGAAGAACGACGTTTAGGTCCCAAGCCGGAGGACGGAGCTTTGCCTTCTGGTCCTCCAGCTTAAGCGCTTTGAGGATGGCGATGAGTTCTGGCACCTTGGAAATCTTTTTGTCGCGACTTGACCGCCAGAGCGGAGTTAAGAGCCGATAAATAAGTTCCTATAGTGTTGCCCTTGAGGCGCCGGGACTTCGAAGAAAGAGAAGGAACTCTGCTATAAACTGAGGAGAAGCCTTCAATGGGTCCTTGGACTTCTGTGCACAAAACTTCTCAAAGAAACCCACTTATCATCATAGAGTGATCTTGTGGAGACTTCGATGAGCACGAGCAATAACCTTGGCGACACCCGTGGAAGCCCTTGGCCTTCAGCCTTTTGCAGATGATCCAACCGCACAGATGAAACCGAGTCGGATCGGGATGCCACTGTCGACTGTGGGGATGCCTGAGCAGGTGAGGCCAGTCTGGTAACTGTTGCGGACTTCTTTTCGGTGAGGCGAGCGCAGATCTGGGAACCAGGTTCTGGCTGGCCACCAAGGTGCGTGACCAAAAGCAGACGAATCGTCTCTGTCCGCTTGACCTTTGCTATTACCGCTGGCAACAGAACGGTGGAAAACGTACACGCCCAGACCCTCCACGACAAGGACATGGCATCGACCGCCCATGCCGCTGGATCTGGAATCGGAGAACCGCATAAGCGGCAGCTGTGTGTTGAAGCGAGTGCGCAAACAGGTCGATCAGAGGCGGCCCGTGACTGTGACAAAGAAGTTTGAACGCTTCTGGATGTAGCATCCACTCTGTTGGAGACGGTTTGCCCGGCCTTGAGAGAGCGTCTGCCAAAGCGTTCTTGCACCCTGGGATGTGTTGGGCTCTGGCGCTGATGCCATTGTCGTCCAGGAGACTGGCCAGCTGGAGCGTCTGCTCCAACAACTGTTTGGACCTGGTCGTTCCCTGATTGTGAATCAACCACACCACCGTGGAATTGTCCGGCTATCAGGAGCCTGGTGTTCCGCAACAGAGGCACCCAGTGTCGAACCGCTAAAATGACTGCTTGCAGCTCCAAGTTGTTGATGTGCCATCCTAGCTCGGGTGCCTGACCACAGCCCGAGGTGGTCTGGTCGTTGAGGTGAGCACCCCAACCTTGAAGAGGCGATCTACGAACAGTTCGTGATCGTGAACAAACTCTGTCAAGGAGACTCCTGCGCAGACGTTCGACTCGACAGTCCACCAACGGAGGTAAGCGTGGAGATGCAGGGGCAAAAGGAACCTCAACTGAAGGTCGTCCGCCTGGATGTAAGGCAACAGGAAGCGCTGTAACGGCCGAAGCATCAAGCGACCTCTGAGCGTCAAGTCCTGGGCTGAGGTGAGGAGACCTAAGAGGGACTGCCACTCCCTGAGCACGAGCGGCTGGGATAGACCTCGGTTGGCGAAACTGACAATCTTTCTCCAGCGATCTAGCGGAATCCTGACAAGGTCGCAATGTGTCAGGAAGAGGCCTCCTATAAACGTCAGTTCCTGGGACGGCTCCAGGTGGGATTTGTCTATGTTGATAATCCATCCCAGTTGCTGCAAGAGATGAATGGCAAAGTGCATCTGTTTGCGAAGCAACTGAGGGTCGAGGTGGTTCATGAGACAGTCGTCTATATAAGGGTCGAAGTCGATGCCCCTGAGATGGAGGAACCGGGTGATCGGCGAGGTAATCCGAGTAAAAAGCCACGGGGCCGTGGAAATTCCAAATGGAAGCACTTTCCACTGGTAGTGGGACCCGTTGAAAAAGAACCTCAGGTACTTTCTGTGACGGTGGTAAATGGGCACATGCAGGTAGGCATCCTGAAGGTCGAGGCTGGCCAACCAGACCCTGGGCGCAAGCTTGGCTCGTAGCTGTTCCAGGGACACCATGCGGAAGTGAGGCGGTTCCGGAAGATAAAGGTGGTTGAAAACTGCCATGTTGTGAATCATTAAGTAGTTTCCCTGAGTCCTTCTTGGGAACCAGGAAGATTGGTGAGTAGAACCCGGGGACTGTCGGGGTCTAGCACTATCTCTATAGCTTGTTTGGCGTAACAGAGTGTGGATGCTGTCTGCTAGCAGTAACTGTTGGTCTGGAGCATACACACGCGTGACTGGGGCGTTGAAGTCAGAGGCGGTGACACGGTGATTGGCAGCTTGTAACCGGTCCTGAGAATGTTGGTGATAAGCGGGTCTTCCAGGATTGTCCAATTGGGCCAGAAGATCCCCAGTCTCCCGCCTACTGGAGTAGGGCGAACCGGCACGACTGAGGCGGGAGGTCCCAGTCGTGTTGGGTCGCAACTTCAGCGACCCGAAGTAAGGGCGCCTCCCCTACCACCCCTGCCGGGGCGTCGAAGGGGTCAGGGGACGATCCTGCTGCGCTGAAAAACAGGTTCGGATCTGCCACGCCACGCCCTCTGCCAGAGGCGTCGCGGGGCGGAGTCTCTTTCGGGACGTAACGGGCGCTTCCCTCTACCCCTTGCAGATGATCTGCCACGAAGGCCAAACTCAAAGCTTGACGTAAACAAAGAAACCTCCGTATTGGTAAGCTCTGCGTGTTCCTTATACACCTCGAATGCCGTCATTAAAGAGGAAGCGAGCGCATAAAGGGGCTCTTAACAGTTTAAACTTTTCCTGCCAAGAACAGGGCTCCAGGAAACCCATCCGCCCGAACAACCCGTTGTCATGGCCAGAGCCGCCGGAGGTGCGCCAGCAAATCATGCAACACCTTGCCCTGCCATTGAAACAGGGTGGTAAGATGTTCTAACCTTGACGTGTTGTCTTCCGTCAGATCCCAAGCAGCAGCCGAAGTTGCCGGGCCAACGCTGATACGGCTTCAACATCCGCTTGAGTTCTGCATCAATGGCCAACATCTTGGAGTCCTGCACTCGGTAGGATGCCTGTGGGGAAGCCGATAAAGCTTGAGGACTCGTCATGAGCAGCGCCTCCATCGGCAAAATCAAACTATGAATCTTGTAGTCTCCTTTTGCGTGACTTTGGAGCCTTTATCGTGGTATTGAGAGACAAAGTAGCAAAATCAGCGTCAAAGAAGCCACAGCATCGGCCACCATCGGGTGAGGCGGGAGGAGTAACTCGGAGAAGACCGAATAGCCTTCGGTCGGCCCGAACCTGAAGAGGGAGAAGGACAATCCGGCAGTCTGTCGGCAATCCAGTCGAACACAGCAGAGAGAGGGAGGTAGGTGCCCCCATCATCATCATCCTCTTGCAACATTTCCTCATTATAATCGGGAGAAAAATAGCGCTCCTCAGTGTCCTCCCAGGACACGGTAGGAGCAGTAAATCGTTGACCCGAAGCAGCAGGCTTCGGTGGGCGCACCGATGACAACTGAGAAGCAGCACTCAAAGTAACTGTCGGGGAACGTGGACGACGCGGCGAGCGGCGAACAGGAGGTGACCTTGAACGGGACCGACGGTATCGCCTACCACGCATCGGTGACCTTGAGCGCCTCTCCCTATCCTTGGAACGTACGGGAGAGCGAGACCTTGAATCAGACCGACGACGGCGAAGAGAAGTATCCGAACTAAGACGAGGACTCCTAGACCGATGATGCTGCCGAGGAGACCTGGAACGAGATCGTCGAGCACGATGGGAACGCTCGGCGTCCTGACGTCGGGAAGCGCTCTTCCATTAACTGACGTTGTAGGTTCTCCTCTCTAGACACTGTAGCCTTCCTGGGGATACGGTAGTCTGCCAAAGGCGTCGGAGTTGGCGCTGGCGTCGGTACAGGCGTCGGCGTCAGCATGGGCGTCGGCGTCGGCGTCGGCGTCCGCATAGGCGCCGGCGTCCGCATGGGCGTCGGCGTAGGCATCGACGTTGGTTGAAGCAACAAGTCAGCAACTGGAGAATCAAGTGCCACAGGCGTCGGCGCAGGGACAAAGCTAGGCAACGGCGCTGGAACGGTGCTAGCAGGCTCCGGCAGCTGCCCGGCAAAGGAGGCGTCGAAGCAACTTCTGAACCTCGGATGCGACAAAGCGTCCGGGTGGGATAGGTCAACAAAAAGCGTCAGGCAGTAGCAGCTTCGAAGCGTCAGCAAGCGAGGCGCAGGGTGGGCCGGCTGATCTATCACAGGAGAAGAGCGTCCGACCGGCGTACGAGGGGGAGAAGACCGGGAGTCCACAGAAGAAACAGGGGAAGACATTTTCCTCCTCCGTTGTGACAAGCGTTTCTTCTTAGAGCTGAGGTAGGCCTTGAAATCTGCGACGGACAGCGGAGTACAAAAGTGACAGCGCTCGTCAATGGAACAGGCAACAGTCGCACAGTCTGGGCACCAGGGGTGTGGGTCCTTGGCAGACTTCTGCACCTTGCAGATGCAACAAAACTGCCGGGTCATGCACACCAAAAGCTGTAACACACAAATGTGAAACGTAAAAAACCTAGAAACAACCCCTGCAGACGAAAAAATGGAAGCACCCTCCCACAAGAATGGGCGGCCCTTGAATTCAAGTGGGACAGTCGATAATAAACAACCAAGATGGCTGCCCCACACTGAGCGCGAAAAGCGTTGAAAAACACACAAATTAGGCAAGAAAAAGAAGGTACACAAAAACAAGCATGAAACAGAAGGTGGAAGAACCCTTGAGGTATCAAAACACCCAAACATGCCACGATGGAAAAAACTTCGGGCGTGGGGACACACCCAAGCCGAAGTGAAAAACATAAACACGAGGTAGCCAGGTAAGTGAAGTTACTTGTAAATTATGTTCTTCACCCACAGAGAAGATACATAAGATAGAAAAACATACATACCAATAACTTTAATATCTGAAATCTATTAGTAAGTGTCTGAAACTTAGCGAACCAAAAACGTCTGACCAGCAAGACGCTTGAAGTAAAAGTGATTTTGGATGGACCGCGCTTGCGCGGGAGGGGAGATCACGTCACTTCCGTTGCCTGTACACTCGTCGATACACGAGGTGGCCGTTCTACAGAATGGCGAATCAACGACTGTCTGATCTCTTTAAGCGGAGCTTGAGGTAATATGCATAAGACCTATGGTAAGGTAAGTTAAAAAATATATTATTTGACTGAGACAAACTGTAGTACGTCAATGTGGCAGTGAATCCTTTAGCAGATATACAGTATTCTGTCACCACCACAGAAAGAACAAAGATTAATCTTCAAAGTGATTAAATGAAGGAAAAATCATCATCAAGTACCTCCATATTTGTTCAATAAGCTCTTCCGAGCAATATGTTACAGTGATTACCTTCAACTTGGCAACAACTGGGATTGAGATATCCAGCATCTCTACAAGTTTGGCAGCTTGGTCGCGGAAATTCATCGCTAATGCAGTGAGTTCCTGGTTTTCATCCATATCCTCTTCAATAACAGAAATAATAAACATAAATAATAAACACAATAAATGTATAGCAGAACTGACATATACAATGAACGTATCTATACAAGAGGTTTCTAGTCAGCAAGAAATCACTGAAAACATCCACATATGTGAAGTGGGTCACATTTATGGCTTCCTGCAATGATAACTCTCAGTGAATAACAGCTCTTGCATCCATTGATCATATCTTGCCAAACCTGCAATCACTCCACATTTGGCCTTTGTTTTTCAAGGCATCTTAAGGACAAACCTATCTAGGATTTGTATCTAATTACCATTGAAAGACAAATCAGGAACATAAGTGGTAAATTCTGCAAAATTTGAAACATACAACTTAAAGGAGTTTATGTTCAAAAATGTAATTTTCTGACTAAAATGATATTTTATACTTATCCTGACTCATGCTAAATGCTTGTCTCTTTCTCCTTGTGAATGATAGTGGAACACTTGAAATCCCTTGAAGTGGACGTAAAATCACCACTCACCCACGAGTTACCTCCCTTGCCTTCTTGGTGCCCTTTTGGTCACATGACCGGCCATGTTTTGTCACTCTCTCCGTATGTATGCCCGACACCAAATTTACAGGGAAATCCAGAGTGCCATAAGAGGGGAGGTTGGGAGGGCTCAATTTTAGTCAGAAAATTACATATTTTTCCTAATCCTGACTCATGCTAAATGCTTGCAGAATCCATCGGAATCGGTGGTGAGTCAGGCCACATCTGGATTCTCTGGCTGTTGATTTACGTCCTGTATTACCCCCCATGGGAACTTATGACGGCACTGCTGATGATTCTGTTCTTTCAACTTCCTCTGATAAGTCTGGGGGGAACCACTTGTCAGATTTCTTCCGAAACTTCTCCTGACATTTCCATGTGGATTTTTAGATATAGTAATGTTCCATTAGTTATCTATTGCAACTCCATCTCTTGATGTGCGCATTAAGAGGAGATGTGACCCTTCTTCATGTACAAGTATGTCCTATACAAGTACAGGGTCTATCACTCATGCTAGTCTGCCCTAGATGTGTGCATGGACTTTAACCATTTGCTCTCCAGAGCGTTGATTTTCACAAGTCACGTGATAAAAGGGTGAGATTTTTCTCAGCGCCTTTGTGGAACCGTTAGTTGTTGTGCTACAACAAGTGGCCCAAACTGGTGAATGCCTGAGACGTCTTCGGTGACAATGTCTCTGAGGTAGTGGTTGGCAAACACTGTGTCTTATTTCCAAAAGCAGCCATCCATTATTGTTGTAATCGAGCAGTTTCCATGCAGGACAAGTGTAGACGCCAGGGCTCTGACTTCGTGGGGATTGGGGGGCTCATGGAGGCTCAAGTCCTGCTGCTTTGTAGGCCCTTAGTATAACGGCTCTCATCCATATCGATAACGTTGTCCGTGAGATAAGGGGATGAATAGGCGCTTGAATTTTCGTCTCCTTGTTTTTGTCCTTTGTAGGTAGACTTTTAGTGCTCTGACAGGGCATAAGGATAGATCATGTGTATCCTGTGGCCCAAGGACTGTAGAGAGTGCTGGGATGTGGAACTGTCTGTCAGGCTGGCCGGGCAGTTGGTTCTTGGCAATAAAATCCTATCTCAGTCCTAGATGTACGATGTCACGATGTCATGATTCAAATCATGTTCGTTCAAAGTCCAGAGCATGTATTTCTGACATCCATGCTGCTGTTGCTTGGGCGATCAGGAACAGCGTTTTCTGAGTCAGTAGTTCAAAGGATGTCTGTTCTAGAGGCTTGTAGGCGTCACTGGTGAGATGTTGTAGAACTATGTTGAGATCCCAGGCAGGAGCCTTGAATTTCTTTTGTTGGTCTTCCAACTTGAACGAGCGTAGTAGTGCCAGTATCTCTGGTACTTTGGTCAGCTTGACACCCGTCTTCATTGTGATAACTGTGCTGAGAGCAGCCAGGTACGTTGAGAGTGTTGAACCTTTTAAGTGTCTCGTCTGTCGCAGATGACACAGGTATTCCGCCACTTGAGGATGGGTCGCTTTTACCGCTGTAAAGCCTTTTCTCGTTGCATACTGATCAAATCTCTGCCACTTGTCATCGTACAAGTTGCAAGTTGATCTGCGTAGAGCTAGTGTTACTGCTTTCGCTGCTCTGGCGGAGTACCCTCTAGTCTTCAGGCAAGCTTTGATACGCTCCATGCGTGTAGCTGGAACAATGCCGGATTCCCGTGAGCTTGCTTGGTGTGTGGATGGACGAGCAGGCTCGACCACTCTGGTAGTTTCAGGATTGGACTTCCGAGTTCTTGTATGAGGACGGGAAGCCATATCCTCGCTGGCCAATAGGGCCGACCAAACTCAGTTGCAGCATTGTCGTCTGCTTGATTTTTTGTATTACTTGTGGTAGTAGTGCTAGAGGTGGAAACGCATAAGCGTTTAGTCCTTCCGTGATACTTATCGCATCGCCACTCTTGTATCGGGATTCGTATCATATCGCAGCTTCAGTGCGCAATACTTTGGCAATATATCGTGGTGAGTAAAATTTTAGTATCGTGATGTATCGTATCGCAGGTTGTATGCCAATACCAGCACTACTTAGCAGTAATATAAGGTCCCATCTTATTTGTAATGAAGATCAGGGTGCCGTTGTACAAAACAACCTTAGCGCTAAGACTACCGCAAGTCTATGTAAGGTATGGGACTTACGGTCACCTTAGCGCTGTGATCGCTTTGTACAACGGCACCCTGAACATCAACTGGGAAATATATAATTCTGGGAAATTATCAATTCCCAGTTCTGCAAGTTGTACTGACATTTGCTGCTGACTGAGCGCCAAACATCCCTGAGCAAGTCTAGATAAATTCCCAAGGATAGAAGTGAATATGTTCCAGATATATTTCACTTGTATTTTGTCTCAAAAACTAAATACTAACAAAACATTTTGAAACCTTAACCTTTGACCAAGTTGGTGTAACTACTGAAACTTACCCCGGTCATTTTCAGAAAGTTTGTCCAACTGTGTAACCATTGCAATAGGATATGGTGTTTCCTGAAGTATAGATTCCACCTTAAACCGGCACAATCCAGTAACAAGTAAAGTGTATGCTGGTCTTGGCCAGTTGGTACCAGTTATCTGAACAACAACAGCTGCTGTGCCTATGGAATGAAGTGCTGTAAGCTCATCATCCTACAAATTTAATTAAAAGAGAAAATTGGAAAATGTCAGTTTGATTATTAACATGAAGATAGTTATATATTCAACCAAACTGTGCCCAAACCTTTCCAAGCAATTATCCCAAACTTGACAGCATCAATTTCAGTTGATTTGAATGTTATTACAAGTACTTCTGTACCTAAGCTTCTTAGGCTGAACAGAATTGTACAAAGCTTTGGTCTAGTTGCAGACTGTTCCTCTACAAAAAGGTCACGCCGAAAACCCGGGTTCGATTCCCCACATGGGCATAATGTGTGAAGCCAATTTGTGGTGTCCCCCGCCGTGACATTGCTGGAATATTGCAAAAAGCGGCGTAAAACCAAACTCACTCACTCTACAAAAAGGAAAGGGAAATCATAGCCCTACTATCAAAAGGAACATGATCAATGCAGCACTCTAACATATTTTCTTTACATGTTTTCACATTCAGACTGCAACATCAGTTAATTACTTTACAAATCTCATGATGAACCGTATCAAAATATCTACTTTGGTTTGATATCACCTGAAATATTGTGAACTAAAACATACCAGAAACTGAAGACACAACTATTTTACCAAAACTACACATAGCGAGACATTCAGTGGTATGCTTTAATTATGAAAACATTGTAACCATGGTAACCATTAGATTGTTCCAAATATACATATGTAATTTGTAAATGAACCCCCAGCAAGGTGGCCTAGATTTGTTTGCTGGTGGCTTATAGCCCTTGTGTAATAAAGTTGTGAATAATATTACTGTGATTCAATAGGTATAATAAGTTTTCTTTTAAATATAAAGAGTATTTATGATGAACCTGCTCGTATGTAAAAACTTGGTCTCATCATGATGTGGTTGAGAAATGCTGATGCAGTTTTAACTTACTAAATATGTGAACAATATCTACTTTTGAGAGCGGCACATAACCATGAATATTGAAAATACCCAACAATGTCAACATGACACAAAGGAAATTTCTAAATACTGTAATATTTTTTGTATGTAAGGGACCGTTCAGAATTTATGGCTAGGGGGGCGATGATGATTTTTATGGAGAAGCATGTACAATGTGACTGACCCCCCCCTAAAATTTATGTACAAAGTAAGTGATCCCCCCTGCTTGTCATGTACAAAATCAATGACCCCCCCCTCCCCATTCAGATATTTTTCACGCATAATTTGTAAATATTATATGTACAAAATTGATGACCCCCTAGTGCATGTGTGTACATAATTGATGACCGCCCTACCTCCCCAGAACAAAATGGGTGGAACACCCCCAAAAAAATCATATAAACAAACACACACACCCACACACCACCCCCAAGCCATAAATTATGATCGGTCCCTAAAAAAACAATTTCACAGAAGGTTATATATATTTTCCGCCCCTGTATAAATGAAGATTGAAGCCAAATTACCTCATCATCTTTAGCTGGATCCTTAGGTATGACACCAATGACAGTACTGCTTAGTGTATTGCGCCCAAGGAGACGGCTCTTCACCATATTCATGCTGAAATGTTGTACAACCATGTCTGTATTCACATTATTTTCATGAGAACCCAGGACACACAGCTGTTACATTCCAGTGTCCTTTGTCAAAGAGTATTGTATACTTTAGTTATTAAATCTTACATAAATATTACAATATATATCATCCAGCTGTCATATGCTAACATCAGAATACTAGGTCGTTAATGGCCCTGGCTATATAGATTTGTGCAATATACTTTATTGAAAGGACAGTGTTTTTAAACTTTGATCTGAAGGCTTGAAATGAAGGAGAAAGCCTGATATCTTGCAGTAAAGTTTTCCGTTACTTTGGTAGAGAATAGGAAAAGGGTTGAAAGCCAAAAAAAGACTTTAATTTGAAAGTTACATATTTTTAAATAAAGTTCAGTGCAAGTCATGATGCAATGCTCACCAAAACAGTATCAGAAAAATACCATCACCCACTAGTTATAAAACATATTTAATACAGATGAGTGAAGATGAGAACGATGATCACTGAAGTCGATATACGTGCATGAGCGTTTCCCTTTATCAGGACCTGTTTATCATTGAATGTGGCACTTGGAACCAGCTGACAGGCACCTGTCACGTGACAATAACACTAACAGCACACTTTTGACGATTGCCGTGAACGTGATCATTAAACATAGCGTTTAAGACAAACCAGGACAACGGGTGCAATTGAAAGACACTCACTTCCTGATGTTTCTGACAGGAATTCGCATCGAGGAACCAGGTAGTAACACATTTTCTGCCACTAAGAGTAGAGGCACCCGTCTCGGTATAGCTATGGAGGTCGCCATCTTGTCCAAGATAAACTTTGGCCTTTAAGCTGGTTTCCGATTCCCTTTGCGCGTCGTTAATTTGCGTCATAGCGGTATAGAGACGGGGCCCAGCTGACCATGCAAACATAACTTATATAATATTTTTTTTCTGAATATAAGATTAATTAGACGGTATTGGTGTTTAAGCATTATTATATCGATTTGACGAAGGATCGCTAATTTTTTTCAGTTACTTTTCAAACTTAATATTTGTTTACGCAACGGTAAATCACATGACATTTCATGTAAACAAAATGGCCGCATCGAGTCATCTGCCTGTGAATGTGATGTCATTTGAGGTCACGATCATTTGAGCAATACGTAGTCGTACACGGATATAACCAGCAAACAACATCTTATATCAACGTTGCAGAAGTTATGGCTTCAAAACTACCAACAGAGGTGAGTAGTTAATGGTGCCATTTTGTTGTTACTTATAATCTTTTTAGTTTGACGTTTGGAGAATGACTTGACAACTTGTGAATGTGAACAAAACAGGGGCTTGATACTAGATAATGAGATGGTTTTAATTGACATTTTAAGTTTTACCTTTCGAAAATCGAATCTTCTATTTTTAAATCTTCTTAGTTGTCACATGGTTTGAAAAGGATATAAACAAGCCAGGTGACTGTGAAATGTAAAGACAGCTTTATTTACGATGCTTGAAAAATATTTTCAATCATAATCATTCCTTGATAAGGAAAAGAGGCCATCTCCGTGAGGCAGACGATGGCAAAGGTGAGCTGGTAATATCTTGTTCAGACACCAATTTATCAGTCCATGTGTCAAGATGTTAAATACTGAAAGAAAGACATGTATTAATTATTAAATACACACTTTTTTATATTCTTTTTATCAGTTAATAATTTCTGTGATTTGCAACTCGGGAAAGAAGAGAACATTGTTCGCTTTGATACCCTCAACATTCTCAACCAAGTCCAATGAGATAGAAACAACCCGAAAGAATATAAACTGTTGATTAACTCTCTAAGTGTATCAGCATGTTTGCCGTGGTGTGAGTAAGTTATGAATAGATTAGCTATGTAAATAACCCAGTTTTGTGAGATTATAAAGACAAGAAGCAATATGAAATTTGTTATTATCATGATTATGCTGTTTCATGGCAGTAATGTTATGAAAACACTCAGCCATGTTATTATATTTCAGTAATATTTATGCAGGTCACAGTCGCTGACAGTATCTGAAGCAGAGTTTTACATCATACATAATTTCTGTGGATTTGACTTTATAATTGCCCAAATAATTTAATGTTTTGGATATGAGTCATAACTGATGCAATACTTTCACAAATGAAATCTAAATCCAGATTGAGTGTTTAGTATTTTTTATTTATTTCTAGAATTTCACTTTTGCATGGATTACATAACTGAATAAATTTATAATAAGTACTTGCTACCATCTCTTTAATGATTTCCTTAATCACTGGAAACATAATGGTGCATACTTCATTTGTGAAAATGTGTTGTTTTTTAAAGTCTGTATCGTTTCCCTTCAGCATGTTGAGCACCTCCTTTTTCAATTTCCTGTTTGCTTCTGCATCAAGGCATTTAAACCTTAGTATGTATAGGCGGATCCAGAAATTTTCAGTGGGGAGACGAACCCCTGAACCCCACCTTGGCTCTGCCGAGCATTGCAAAACATTAACTTCAATGTGGTCATTTTCATGATGGGGGTGGGGGGTGTTTGTGTGTGTGTGTTTGGGGTTGAAGGATCACTGTATGAACCAAAGTAAGCCTGCGGCAGAGGGAAATAGGGAGTGCAGGGTGTCAGATGGGATAGGTACGGTATAGAAATATACAATTTATAGTTAAAATTTTCAATTTTTATTTTTCTTGCAAGGGATCGGTCAACAGAAAGTTTTGCTCAAATAATAGATTATTGAAAACCACAAGCAATATTTAGTCATGTATAAGATTAAGAGGTCCGTTGGTAACCTGGCAAGGACCTCTAAATGAAACAGGTCTTTATCTGGAATAAAAAAGAAAAGAAAAAAAGATCTATCAATATTTATTTAAAAAGATTGAAACTTTTAAAGATAACTTTATAGAAGGAGATAGGTCACAGAATGTATGTATTACTCTGTTGCTTTCTTGTAGAAGAGGTTCGAAGCAATATTACTATGTTATGACACAGACTGAAGAAAATTTAAAGATAATGGAAAAATGGCAAGAGGAAATATTAGTAAGACAGAACTGGTCAAACATATTTATCAAAGCATTTAAAAGTACATCTGATGCAAAGTTAAGATGGATGCAATACAGGCTACTACACAGAATTATACCAGTCAATACATACTTAATCAGGATGAATGTTGTTAATAGCATCTATGTACATTTTGTAAATCTGAACTGGAATCAATACTCCATCTGTTTTGGGGGTGTAGGGAAAGTGAATCTGTTTGGAATAATCTTTCTCAGTGGACTATGCTGAAATATTCACATGCTACCAGAATTATATATTCCATTGTGAGCTAGTGTTATTTGGCATTTCAGAATCCTTCCACATTGATACTATATTTGACTTGATTATTTATTACTAGCTAAATTTCATATCTATAAATGTAAACTTACAAATCGAATACCGTATCTATCCACATTTAAAAAAGAATTGAACTATTGCAAGGTTGAACAAATCAGGTATATATATAGCAAAGCAAGGTTTCAGGAATACCATAACAAATGGAAACAATATGAAAATCTTGTTCTGTAGTAATCATTGACAATGTGAATTAATTTATTTCTGTATTTTTATAGGATGGCTGACACTGTGAGGGAATGTTGTATCTATGTGTAACCCAACCAATCCCCCCAACCCCCCACCCACCTACCCTCCCATTTTTGTTGTGTCCAGCTTTATACATCATTATATACATTGTACACGTCTTATATTCTGAGAATAAAAAAGGAAAAACTATCATTATATTCCTGTAAATAATTATGAAATGATAAATATTAACCTGGCATATTACCAGTTGGGTTATGTTCCTTGATGTACCAGGTAACCTGGTTACAGAGCTATTTCATTTCATGATTTCACAATGTTTATATTGTCACTCATGTCCCTGAAAATAACCACCCTGGCTTCTATACGAGTGGCAGTGATAACCAAGAGTTGCTAACAGTAGCCCACGGGTCCAAGGCAGTCAGTACCAACTTAATATCATGTCAAAGGTATGCGAGCAAACATTTTAGGGTTAACCCTTTTTAAATTAACATGTACTTTCGTTATGTTTCATAATAGTATTTGTACTTGTGATCACAGGGAAATATAAGTTTATCAGGTTTAGGTGCCTACAGTTAACAATTTGTTAACAATGGAAATAACGAACTCCAACTGGAACTTTTGAAATATGTTGTTGTCTGCTGTGTCTCACTCACAAGGCCTTGTTTTGCCTTCTTCCACTATTTGTATTAATGAGAGACAAAGCATCATTCATGGAATAAAATAGGCTTGTTATTTTTGTTATGATCTCCTATATATATCCTACAATCAACTTTTGAACTGGAACGTCGTCATATGAGCGAAATATTCTCAAGTACGACGTTAAACCCAATTTTACCTCACCTCACCTTTTGAACTGGTGCATATATGGGCTAAGCTCACATGATCTCACACAGGCCAGTCATACCAGCCATATAGTTGCAATATGGTTGTGTTTGCCTTAGACCCGTGAAGATCTGGGTTAGAATTGATCTTCAGTATCCCATGCTTGTCGTAAGAGGCGACTAAAGCCACTAAAGGGATCGGGTGGTCAGGCTCGCTGACTGGGTTGACACATGTCATCGTATCTCCATTGCGCAGATCAATGTTCATGCTGTTGATTCCTGGATTGTTTGGTCCAGACTCGATTATTTACAGACCGCCACCATATAGGTGAAATATTGCTGAGTGTGGCGTAAAACTCACTCACTGTGTTTGCCTAATCTATTACTGGACAGCTGCCCTGGGTTTTAGACAGTCAGTGAAGGGGCGGTGGCGTAGTCCAATGGTTGAAGCGCTTGCTCATCACACGGAAGACCCAGGTTCGATTCCCCACATGGGTACAATGTGTGAAACCCATTTCTGGTGTCCCCCGCCGTGATATTGCTGCAATATTGCTAAACGCGGCGTAAAACTAAACTCCCTCCCTCCCTCACTTTAGTCAGTCAGAGCTGTTTCTATACGAGTCAGTAACATGAGTTACATAGTTTAATCCCTGATCAATTCACATATATATAACATAATACATATTGCATTTTAATTGTATGAGGGGCAGTGGGGTAGCCTAGTGGTTAAAGCATCTGCTTGTCACGCTGGATACCCGTGTTCGATTCCCCACATGGGTACAATGTGTGAAGCCCATTTCTGGTGTTCCCTGCCGTGATATTGCTGGAATATTCCTAAAAGCGGGCATAAAACTCAACTCACTCACTCACTCTAGATGGACTCAGATGGTCAATGACTTGGTTGGGTGTTTCTCATGATATCAACCGCTGGTTTGTCTGGCCCATCTGTTGCCTGTCTTGATACAACTGGAATTACAGAGGACCATCTAAATACCAAAGAATGAAAGTAATCTCTAGGGGTTAAAGTTGTTTTTCACATCTAAATCCTCGAGTCTGATTTTTCTGTATTATCCACATGCGTCCTAAGCATAAAAGTCATTCTTGGTGTTCTCAGACATGATATTACTGGATTATGGACAAATGTACTGCATTAAAATTTAAATGCATCATGTACTCTTACGTAATCACTGTTTAGAATTTAAAGAAACATACAGGAAGAATGGAGTCAAATAAATTACCATTTAGTCTGGCCATGAATGTTTTACAAGTTTTAAGATAATCTTAGAAGCAGACAAACTACTTAATATATTTGCCTGTGTGTACATTAGACTTTACAACAATTTATTAGCCTTATGGCAACCACAAATTCTCAAGGTCTAAAATCTGTTGTGTCATGTTTCAAATATGCTTTGATGAGTAGAAATGTACTGAAATGATATATGAGTCTATTTAATATATGCTCCTGTACTGTATTGTATGCACAACATGTTTATGGGCCTATGGTTTTTCATGCAATGAACAATTTATTTGATTTGTATCCCAGTGATACAAACTGACCCACCCTATGTTGTTTCCCAGTAATGAGTCACGAGTTAAACATTTCTGTTATCTTCATCAATTATAATCTGTCACCTGTGAAGATCCGGATTAGAATTGGTCTTTATTAATAGCTAAACATGCTTGTCATTAGTGGTGGTCCGATTAATTGAAATAATCGAAGATTGGTCGCAGTGACTAAACGACCAAGCAATCGATCATGTTTTCTTATAATCAAACACAAACAATTCTGGAACACTTGTTTTCATAAACAATATTTTTCACAAGGTTGGTTTTGTCTGTTACATTTCATAAGCACTACAAGTTCGTTTCAAGTCATGATTGAATTTATCTTAAAGACTCTGAGAAATTTATGTTCCTGACATACTAGTCATCCTTTAAAGATGTGAAATTTTGCCAAAAGAACTACATGTTTTTTCCTTATTTTTATGTGCATTAACAAATTTCATTAATGACGCTAACCAATTTGATGATTGATCGGTTGTAATAAACCAATCATCAGTTATGAGATTTTAACCAATTCCCAACACTACTTGTCATAAAAGGCGACTAATGGGATTGGGTGGTGACATGTGTGATCATATCCTAATTGTGTAGATCGATGCTCATGGTGTTTATCACTGGATTGTCTGGTCCAGACTTCATTATTTACAGACCTCTGCCATATAGCTAGGATATTGCTGAGTGCGGTGAATATAAACAGCAAACCAAACAACCATCCATAAGTAGCTCACAGTAGGGGGGGTCTTTAATAAGTCATTGTCAACTGACCTATTGTTTCTCTCTGCAGGTCATCTCCCACTTGATGAGCTTCCTCAGTGTGTCGGACCGTAAGGAGGCTGCATTGGTCAACACAGCATGGTACGAGGCATCTATGGATCCAGCTCTACAGAGGGACATGGTGGTCAACTTCTCGGACAGTAATGTAACCAACTGCCACACGAGGAGAAAACTGACCCACCTGTTGTTGAACCATATCGACAACTCTACCTCTTCCGTAAATGAGATGGTCAAGTTCTTTGAGTACATGAGCGAAAGTCTGATAAACCTGTCTCTCAAGGGCTCCAACATTACTGAAGGAACATTTGTGAAGCTTCTATCGCTGTGCAAGAATCTGACCGTTCTCGACCTGACAAGCTGTAATTCTTTGTTTATGTCAGGCAACCTCCTTGACCGCAAGTCAGATGTCCAAAGCCTCAAAGAGTCTCTGCAGCATGTTAAGAAGTTGAACTTGGCTTCAGTAAGATTTCTGTCTGATGTAAGCTTCAATAGAATCTTATCAGTGTGTCCAAATGTTGAGGAACTGTCTCTTGCTCATGCTCAGATAACATTCAACAGTTCAACCTACTACCCCCAGGGAAGTAAGGTCGGGACCAACTCAGCTGTTCTTACCTTCCATAACGTCCTGGATTTTGTTGACAGACAGGGGCCAAAACTGAAGTCACTGAACCTAAGCCGGACCACCATTGCCAACTGCCATCTCTCCGAGTTAGCCAGGTGTCAGAACATCGCTTTAGAGGAACTTATCCTTGTTGGCTGTCGAGAGATCACCGACTCTGGCCTTGGTCAGTTTTGTCGCCAACAGAAGAGTCTACAGAGGCTGGACATCAGCAGTTGCACTGACATCACCGACAGTGGCATTGCTGCCGTGGCAACCAACCTGACCCAGCTGCGATCATTTAAGGCCAACAAATGCAGGCAGATGACTGACAATTCTGTGAAACTGTTCAAGTACATGTCTCTCCTGGAAAGTCTGGACCTCTCTGAGTGTTACGAGCTGTTCAGCCAGGGGATGATTCAGGGGCTGTGTAGTGGGATACAGAGTAAGCTCACCCACCTCAACCTTAGCTGCTGCACTGCCCTAACTGACTACTTTGTTGTGGAACTTACAAAAACTGTGCCCAGTTTGGTTCACCTTGACCTTGGCTCTCTGTTCAATATCACTGACATCAGTGTCCACGCGGTCTCCAAGAGGCTGAAGCATCTGCGATACTTGCGACTTGCATGGTGTAAGGAATTATCAGACAAGGGTCTGCTGGGGCTCGAGGAACTGGATGACTCTAAGTACGAGACTCATGTTCTTGATGGTCATAATGGACAATGCCGCTGCACTCGCAGACATTCAGAACAAGGCTCCAACATTTTCAAGAAGCCATCTGGTAGTGGTGGGAAGGACAAGAAGATGTCTATTGGCGATCTGGAGGCCATGGTGAAGAATGGGGGAGAGCTCTACAGCCTCAGCAACTTGTCAGGTCTCCGAACCTTGGACCTGACATCCTGCTCCAAATTCACAGACCTTGGTCTGAAAGAAGCAATAAAATTCAAGGAACTTAAGAGCTTATCCCTTGGCATGGTACATGGGATGACCAATGAGAGCCTTGTTGCCATAGCCCGTAACAATCCAAGCCTGGAGGAAGTCCACCTGAATCAGTGTATAAACATCACTGATGCAGCAGTAGAAGCTTTGACAAGTAAGTGTCCACGATTGGCCCACCTGGATGTGTCTAGCTGTGACAGATTGACCAATCACACTCTGTATTATGTCGAGACCAACTGTCATCGTCTGCGTCATCTTGATGTATCCTACTGTAGCGGATTGACCCCGGAGGCTGTGGACAAGCTGGAGGGCAGCATGAAAGGCCTGCATACAGTGCACAAGAGGCTGGTCGGAAGTACCGGCACACGCTAACAGGGTATCAGGAACTGCCTGTGACAGGTTCTGATGTCTTTCCATCTTCAGACAATACTGCACCTCTTCTAAAGCTGTGAGAGTGCTGTTGGATGTTGTTAATGTTTAACTTGACAAGAGACTCTCGGAAATTGTACTGTTTGGATGTTATGCTGAGTTTTAAGGGAATTTTGTTTGTTTCTGTTTATGCAACATATCTGCGACACTACAGGAATATACAATTCTGAATTTGATTGTATGAGAGTTAAATTATCCAGCACAATTACTGTCATGTTATCTGACATCTTGGATGTGTAGCTATGTCATACAGGGCTTCAGACTGATGTATGTTTTGGTCAGTGTTGCCAAGTGACCTATTACATATGAAACCGATGATAAAATATTTAGCACATGGGAACCGTCTTTTCCTTAAATCATGTGTCATTTGTTTCCAGGGACAAGTGACAAGCCATCTGGCACACTAGTCCTAGAAATGATAAAGATTTTCTGTTTGACGTTAATCATCTGTAGCTAACTATGGGTTGTTATAATCTGATATAACTTGAAGTGATATAGTTCTGTTTTTTTGGTTATCGAAATCTGTGTATGATAATAGCAATATATACATTACCAGTCATATGTACTGGAATTCTTTGGAAGACTCATTGTATTGAGAGGCATATCAGGAGATAGACGATATGCAGTACACATTATATAGCCTTATAGCAATTGTATATAGGATGTATTTAACGAAATGTCCTTCAGCATTCTCAATTCTTCAATTTCCCAAGATTATTGAAACAGGATCATTTTTGTTAAAGTTATGCAAATGGTCCTGGAAATTTGGTGTATTGTCCCAAGTGAGTAAGTGAGGTTAGTTTTACACCACACTCAGCAATATTCCAGCTATTTGCGGCAGTCTGTAAATAATCGAAGTCTAGACCAGACAATCCAGTGATCAACAGCATGAGCATCGATTTGAGCAATGGGGAACCAATGACGTGTCAACCAAGTCAGCGAGCCTGACCACCCGATCCTGTTAGTCGGTATTGTTCCAAGAAATACACTGAACTTGTTGATTTAATGGTACTCTTGAAGTTTGCCTGTCAAGAGTGTTATCAAGTTTCTGGATCCACGTTCTAGCTTCTATGTCATTTATACTGCCAGTGTAACACATGACAGATTGTATGATGCTTATTGTGACATGTGAGAAGCATTATGTGATGGTTATTCATATTTACTTTTTGTTGTTTTACCACAATTGCTGTGATACATATGAATTTTACCACAGTGTTTACACCATGCTGCTGCTGATGATGATGATGAAGCAACTATGGATTAGTATTGTCACAGAAAACACAGTGATGCAGGTGCAATTGATGATGATGATGAAGCAATTCCAAATCAGTATCATCACAGGAATGCAGTGATGCAAATGTAATTGATGATGATGATGATAAAGCAATTCCAAATCAGTATCATCACAGGAATGCAGTGATGCAGGTGCAATTGATGATGATGATGATAATGATAATGATGATGCAGTTGCAACAGCCACTCTGATCAGAAGCGATGAGTTTACAATTCCATTATAGCCAAGTGAGGTCTGCGGGTTATTATATTAACCTCACTTGACACGGCATTTTGTCTTTTGGAAATTAAGTAGTCATAAAATCACATGTATTCTTTACCATAATGAGTTTAATATTTCAGAGCACCGGTGAATTATGTCATGTGTATTTTCTCACCCATGAAACACTGTTATCATTAATGAATGTTTCAGCCCATATGAACAAAATGTCTGTATGTTTAGGCCAGACCAATTTTATTTCTTGTTTTACAGATTTTTGTCCTTAGAAAACCTATAGGCAGGAGGTAAAAAGGAATAAATAAAATAATCACCAAAATACTATTCCATTTAAATGCTAAAAGTAAATTAATTTTGGCAATTAATGAAGTGTATAGAATAGAATAGAATAATACCTAAATGCCTTTTCAGGAATTTGTGTTACATCAGCAGAGCTACTGACACATTAGAGAGATACCAAACATATTTACATAAATTCTTTGATTTCACATTTGTATAAGAGAGATATGGTACTTGGAATAAAGGATGTACGGGCTCTCTTAGTTTTCACAATTCAAACTTTGTAGCAGCGGCCTGAAGGGAGGAGGTTGTATTCCGAATTAAGTAGTGAGTACGGTCAGATATGATTTTGACAGCTTGATTCACGATTTGCAGCTCATATATTGATGATAAACATTCAAATCTGACTCCAGCGATTTTACTTGCAGTGTTAACAATTTTGTCTATGTTAGATTTGAGATGAACTGAGAGAGACCCGTACCAACAATGGAAGGAAAATGTTAAAATACTCTGAATAAATGCTACATAAAAGATGACATCACAGATGGGTTAACATTAAAAGATCTCAGTTTACGCATGAGATGAAGACGTTGTTGACACTTTTTGTATAGGGCTAAATCAGTTTCAGAGTTCCAGTTCAGCTTAGAGTCAATGAAGGTTCTCAGATACTTATACTCCGACACTGTCTCAAGACATTCACCGTTGATTATTACTGGAAGCATTTCTGTGGGTTTACTCCGAAAGTCAATTATCAGTTCCTTTGTTTTTGTGACATTTAAGAGTACCGGTAAGTGGTTTTCTGCACCAAAATATGGGGCAAACACCAATCTAACATAAACATTTCTTGTAACTTAACATTTTTGGCCAATGAAAACATTAGGATTTTATTTTTTGTGCGGGGATAATTAATTTGTTTTAATTTTTTTTTTTCTTGCAAAATATGACTGGCGGATCCGTAAAAGAAGAAATACAATTGGTCTGGCCTTATGATGAAATATTTTTTATCTTGATGAGTCATTTTCTGCAATATCCAAGCTGGTACATATCTTTAGACCCTTGTAAAGCACGACTTACACCATTATCAGTCTTGCTTGACAATGGTATATGGCTCTTTACCAAATGTCACTAATATAGTACTATAAAGAACCTATTATCCATAAACTTTTGTCAACCAGGTAATTTGTTGTTTATTGTGGAAACTTGGTTGAGAGAACACTCGAAATGATGAATATTGGCATATTCATGATAATTGTTGTTCTAATTTTATTAGTTTCAAATAATTACAATTAATAAGTAAAATTAAAAGTATTTATTTTATTAGTTTCAAATAATTACAATTAATAAGTAAAATTAAAAGTATTTATAAATACTTTTAATTTTACTTATTAATTGTAATTATTTGAAACTAATAAAATTAGAACAACAATTATCATGAATATAAATATAAATATTTTTTTTATTTGAATGACATTTCTTTCTTGTAGCAGTTATTATCTTGGAGATGGCCTATCGATATAACCATGACATTCCAATTTCCAAACTGGTACATTATATTTTTTGGTCATACAGGTCTGTATGTACCTGTTTTGTTATATGTACACGTTTATAAGTTGCTTGAGCTTTGCTATGTAAATATACAGCAATAGCAACAGACTGTTAAATATTTTTCTGCTGGCTCAAATCATTTTTCATTTTCTATTTATAATAATAGTATTTGGAGAAATAATCAGTGAAATATCTTTGTTTAAAATATTAATTCATCTACAATACACGTATTACATTAATTTGTACTTTTCTTGAAAAAAGTTCTGATTTACTGGAGCAGACAGTATAAGCTGTTAGTAACTGGTCACGAGGGGGGCATGGGTTGATGTACCCTCGATGTTTGTTTATGTATCCTGAGCCAGAAGGGCCAGGGGAACATAAACAAACATAGTAGGTACACCAACCATTATCTTGCCTCACACTTAAATGTCGTTTTCTGAGCGCTGAGCGCTCTTCTATTATTTTCAATGTATCCTACTTACAAGCGAGTAACATTTTCCATGTATCCCACTGGGACTGCCGAACTCATTTGGTCCTTCATAGTAGTAATTCTTTATCTCGAATAACATTAAATCACGTATGATGTACGGAAATTACCGACGTTTTGCAAATGCAAATCGATGAAAGGGAGATAACTCTAAATTTGTTTTTCTTGTCGTACTCCATATTATGATCCGATACCAGTGCTTCAAACAGTTCAAATGTACCATTGAGGTGTTCGGTAAGATAAATACGTTGTTCACTGGTCACTCGGGGCCCATGGGTTGATGTACCCTCGAGGGACCAGTGAACACCGATTTATCTTAGCGAACACCTCAATGTTAATTTTGAACTGTTTGAAGCACACGTATTGGATCATAATAAGGAGTACCGGAGTTAGGCAACAGCCCAAACACTACTAACACGAAGTACCAAACGAATTCCCACAGTTCGGCATTTCCAGCAGGTAACATAGAAAATGTGGGGTACATTGATTGGCTCAGCCAATTTAGAAAATGACATTTGTGTGTGGGGTAAGATAAAAAAGATATTTTGGCAAAGAAGCCTCAGTATATAGATATAATGTATGTTTTAGGCATACCATACAAATTACAGCCCTTGTATGCTTGCTTGCAATGTATGAATTTTACACCAGTAATTAACATGTGTGTCACATACAGGCATTAATAGGCATAATACTACTGAATACAAATGAATACAGCATGTTGCTATAGTCAGTCGTTCATGTTGTAGCAACATAGTAGTAAGTTTATAAAGTGGTTGATTTTACATTTTGTGCAATCTTTTTATTTCACTTGCTGTTCTCAATGAAGATCAAGGACTCCTGCATTGCCATTCTCAGACGTATTTTCTTGACTACAGAATCAATAATGATAACAGCGATGGCACAATTGATTTCAAGGGTCCTTGAAGGAGGTATTAGGGCCCTGTACTGACTGACGGAATTTGGTTCTACGCCGCTTTTAGCAATATTCCAGCAACATCACGGCGGGGGACACCAGAAATGGGCTTCACACATTGTACCCGTGGGGATTCCAACCCGGGTCTTCGGCGTGACGAGCCAACACTTTAACCATTAGGCTACCCCACCGCCCAATTAGGGCCCTGTAAAGTAATACAGTGGTGCAGTGTATTTTACTGTAAGATTTGATGATCACTTTTGGGCCTTTTTATGGTTTTGTCAATAATTTGGTATAAAGAACATTACTGTGCATCATATGTTCGTGCATACTTGACACATATTGCTGCATTGTGTAAAACCCCGAACGTGGAGTGTATGTTTTAGTCTCACATCACTGCTGGGTTCAGTGAGGTGAGGTGAAATTGGGTTTAACGTCGTGCTTGAGAATATTTCGCTCATATGACGACATGCATGCGGGTGTATGTGTATGTGCTGCTGCTTGTACTAGCCCAGACTTAAGCTGGTTTTATAGTGCTAGCCCACTGAGATACCATGCCGCAGTGAAGCGTGAATACCCCACTCAGACACATTATACTGACTCCGAGCCGACCAGTCCTTGTTGTACCCATTAATGCCGAGCGTCAGGCAGGGACCAACAAGTACCATATTTTAACGTCTTTTGGTATGACGCGGTTGGGGATCGAACCCGCGACCTTCCGCTCTCTGGGCAGATGCTCTAACTACTACACCACGGAGGCGGTCGCTGGGTTCAGTGGACTATGTCAGTGTAGTGTTCTACCAGGTACCCATTCACTGCCGGGTTCAGTGGACTATGTCAGTGTAGTGTTCTACCAGGTACCCATTCACTGCCTGGTTCAGTGGACTATGTCAGTGTAGTGTTCTACCAGGTGCCCATTCACTGCCGGGTTCAGTGGACTGTGTCAGTGTAATGTTCTACCAGGTACCCATTCACCAGATATGGGCTTCACACATTGTACCCATGTGGGGAATCAAACCCAGACATTCCGGGTGTGACAACCGAATGCTTTTACAAGGCTACCTCACCACCCCCACTAACCTATGGAGACACAGCAGGAATAAAGCCCAAGGAACTCTCATGAGTCAAACTGACATCAACACTGTCTCCTATCCAACTCAACTCTGCAACCAACTATGCTCAACATTGCCCGATTTTTCACCTGTTCGGGATTTATATGAGGGGCGTAGTAGTCAGCCTCACCTAGAAAATGATACAAAAGCAGCTGTTTTATGTTTTATCTTTCTACATATTATCTGTCAGACTCAAGCAAATTGGTTTTGCCATGTTCCAGCCTCACGATCCCCATTTTGTTTGACTTTTTATCCTGGTACCTCCCAAGAAATGCAAATCTGCAATAAATGCATCACAAACTTCAGGAAACAAAATATGCAAGATACATTTTTGATGTTGAGATAGGCAGAAGTCCGCTAGAATCAAACTTAGGTATTAAAGTGCATGAAAAGCAATTTGAAACTACAATGGCTTGTTAAAATGACAGATCATTTTTCATTTTCTGCAATTTTTAAAGAAATATTATACCCCCAATGTGTTGTGATGATTAATGTCTCGTTAACCACATTACCCACATATGTGAAATTTTGGATATGGCTTTGCTAATCATTCCTTCAAAATGAAATGGAAGCTTTTCAAACATTGGACATCGAGAACATAGTTAGGCTGACTACTTTTTGAATGCCACTCGTAGCAGTTTATCTATTAATGTAGCTATTCTGCACCAACACTGAACTACACATCAAATAATGACATTTTTTTAAGGGGGAAGATGTCAGTCAGTGGGCTGAGGTGCCACAATTTTTAATGCAGAGTTGTGTCCCTTGGGTGTGGCAGGATCAGTTGATCATACTGATAGCAGTTTAAGATCCCAGTTTCATCACAGTGATGATCCCAGGTTTATCAGTGTCTCATTTATACTTGTACTATAGTGACAACCAGTTGTTTTCCCCCTCAGTTACATGACCAGGCACCATAAATAACTGATGTTTTTGTCAAAATGGTGACACCCTTCAGCATGGGTAACATATTAGATGGAGTTCTGAAACACTGGTGAAGTGGACTTCACGTGGAAAGAGAGACTCCAACATCAATCATTATTCTGTCTGGGGAAAACTGGGAATAAATTATAGAAGGTAATTAGTCTTGTGCGTGATTACCTCCTGTTTGACCTTGGACTTCCA